GCCTGCTGTGTTCATCCAGCTCTACACCTTGTTATCTCAAACTATTGAAGTCTCTTTTCTGAAGAGATATTTTCTCCAAATTAAAAATGTAAAGTCATATCCTTTCTTTTACAATTTTCTGTCTCTTCTATCTCATTCTTAATTAAGTATTTCTATCCTTCTCTCTAATTCCACTTTGATCTGACCTTCATTCATATTATTTCCTTCCCTGTCATTCCACTGATTTTCCTTTGTCAAATTTCATCGGTTCACTAGATGACTGTGGTCTATTGTTCACTGAATCCATCTTACCTTTTGGAGCCATTATCAACTCGCACCTCCAGATGGTGAGGATGCAAATTGTTTTTGAGTTGGCGGGGGAGTAGGAGGGGTAGATATTGTCTAACTAACAATACTCGATTTAAGCAAATTCTGAGAGATTGGTATACTGTTAGAGCAATGTGACATAAGGCATATTGTGAATGCAACATCTTTCAGAGAAACATATAACATTGGACCTATGATTCCTGAGGCTCTCCAGCACTGAGGTTTTCTTCTCAGACTCTTATAGAATAGGAAGTTATTGATAGAGAGTTAATTAGACAACAAATAAAAACCGAAAGAACTGCGGATACTGTAAAACAGAGACAAAAACAAAAATTGCAGCATCTGTGGAGCATCGGGCAGCATCTGTGGAGAGAAATCAGAGAAATCAGAAATAACGTTTTGAGTCGAATTCTGAGGAATGGCTAGCTGCTAGCCTGCTGAGCTTTTCCAGCACTTTCAATTTTTTTCTCCCGTTCGACAACAACTTCATCAATCGCGTAAATACCAGGTTCATAGCAGGTGATGTAGATGGATGTTGGACATTTTTTTTATCAAATAAGACCAATGAGGGATAAGCTGAGACAGCCGATATGATTCTTCTGTCTAAGATGTGTTAGGTCAGTGGCCTTTTCTCTGTCTATAAAATTCCTTAATACAGATTGCTGACATGGTGTCATAATGTGCACTAATAATCACATTATAGTATTAATAGTGATAAATGGTGAAAGGCTTATTGCACATATGCCAAGAAATAATCTGCAATTACTCATTGGGAATTTTTATGGCTACTGTATAGGGTTAAAAAAGAAACAGTGCATCAATGAATTATTGTCAGTGTTGTAACATAGGAAAACACAGCAGCCAATTTGCAGGCAGTAAACTCACATGGACAACAATTAAATAATGACCAAATAATTTTTGTTTTTTATGGAGTGGACGTTGGCCAGGATGCTAGGGAGACTCCCTGCTCTTGTTGGAATCACGTCACGGGATCTTTAAGTCTCCCAAAGCAGCCAGGTAATCTTTGGTTTAGTATTTATCCATCAGGTGGCGCTTCAAACACTGTTGAACTCCCTCAGAGTTTCACTAAAACATCCAACAAGACTTTTTTTTTGAAAGATCTCTTTTGGATGACTGATTTCATTCTGTTAAATGTTTTTGGCAGTTCAAAAAATTTGTCAGAAAACCACAAAAGAAAAACTTTAAAGCAAGATCTGGCTCGACCAGAAGGATATTACTAATATAGAAAGAGGGAGAGTATTTCACATCATAATTATAAAGGGAGTGGCAGTAACTCAAATCCTGTAATTTAATACTGTCAATTAGCATAATAGTTCTTAGAAGTTCCTCAGCATTTGCTGCTTAATGGTTTGCTGAAGTGGTTTGTTGACTTTTGATGGTAATGCTTGTGACAACAGTAAAAGAACTATTTGTCCTTTTTATTCTTTTAAAGTGTATTTTATAGCTCCATTCACAACCTCTGGCCATGCCAAAGTGTGTTACAGCTGAAGAAGAACTTTTGAAATGTAGCCATTCTTATAAAGTAGGATCATTAGCGAAAAATTTGCACACAAGCTCCAACAAACTAATTCTCATGATACTTACCAGATGGTTTGTTCCATTGATGTTGGTAAGGGGATAAATATTGGCCAGGACACTGCGGAGAAATTCTCTACTCTCTTCTAAATAGTGCTATGGGATATTTTGCATCTACATGAGAGGGTAATGGGGCTTTGCTTTAATATTTCATCGAAGGGCAGCACCTCCAACAGTGCAGCACTTGTTCAATACTTAGCCACAACTGCGTAATGCTGCACATTGTTAGTATTTAATGAATATATATGAAAATCCTCTGTTATTTAAATGAAGATATGTTTCAAATGAAAAACTAGCACATGGTCAAAATAATATCCACTGTCACTAATGTCGTACTACACTCATTTCTCCTCAATATTTTTTATTTCTTTCCTTCATCATTCAGGAATTGTCAGTGTACAACTATTACTGATGCGCCATTGAAGAATTAACATTGTGCACTTTGAAGCTTTCTTCTTTAATTCCCTATATGCTTCTCCTCCTGGGATGCCCTTAGCAGCATCGTTACATTTCACTCTAATCCATTGTTCTGTTCCTTTGTTTTATTCCAGATGTATTGGCACTCATATGTTTCTCTTTGTACCTCTTTGGCTGGGTTACCATCTTTCTAACTGCTAGGTTAACTGCTGCTGGTGCCAAGGTAGCTTTCTGTGCTGTGTCAGAGATAATGGTGAAGGCATTTCATTATGATTGTTCCAAATGCCCATTATGTCCCTGACAACTGCATTAAAACAAGTGCAGCTCTCTGTCCACGAAACTACGAATATCTTGAATGCTACATCAAGAATCATTGGCAAGTTGGACTCACATTGCTGGAAGAATGGAGACAGCTATCAAAATGTTAGATGTGACTTTCTTTTTAAAGTGTTGGCCAGTTTTATTGCCCTTGATAAGCAAATGTAAAGTTTGCAGGACAAGTATTACTCATGAGATGAAGACAACAAGGCATAGAGCTGGATGAACACAGCAGGCCAACCTATGATGCTGCTTGGCCTGCTGTGTTCATCCAGCTCTACACCTTGTTGTCTCAGATCCTCCAGCATCTGCAGTTCCTACTATCAGTCATGAGATGAAAATGGCTTACAGTTCTTCTTTACACTAAAACAAAAAAAAATCTGAGCACATGTTCACCAAAACAACAGTTCCGCTTAAAAGAAAGTCAGAGACATGGTTGCAAACTGAGCTAGGGATGATAATTTGGTCCATGTGGACTGCTGCTGTATTCATAAATCCCGTCAGGCCATTCAGACCATCAACCCTCTGAAAAGCATCCTACTCAGACCCACCCCATCACTGTAACCCTGCATTCCATACAACTAATCCTCCAAGCCTGCACAACCCCTGGACACCTTAGCATGGCCAATCCACCTAATCTGCACATTTTTGTACAGTGGGAGCACCCAGAGGAAACCCACACAGGAATACAGAGAACATGCAAACTGCCAGATCGCTATTCACTCCTTTGTCTGTCCAACTGTTCTTCTCTCTCTTTGGGCTCTATCCCCTCCTATTGTTTACTCCTCATCCCTCCCCCAGTCCCCTTTTTCTCCATATAAACCAACATTTTCCTAGCTACCACCAGTTCTGAGAAGGGTCACAGGACCCGAAATGTTAACTCTGATTTCTCTTCACAGATGCTGCCAGACCTGCTGAGCTTTTCCAGCAACTACTGGTTTTGATCCATTGTCCCTACTTTGCTAAGCATTCAGCTTATGTACTCTGCCACTTCACTTGGCAGCTGGTAATGGAGTTTTAACCAGTGCATGCAAACCTGCCATCCATCCCAGGAGTTCACAACATCTTTGAAAGAGATCTATGACCAGAGAATGACAAAGAGTTTGGGATAGATTTGTCAATATTTTAACTAGCAGTGCACATAAACAAATCAAGGGTGGGGTTACTTCTGGAGGAACCCAGAAATTGCCCAAATAAGTAATTACTCATGGCTCAATGATGAGCATTCCTGCCTCAGAATCAGCCTGAATGGCCTGAATCAGTAGGTCATGTGTTCTAGACTTGCTTGATTTATAATACAGGCCAAAACCCAAGAACAGTATTTTGGGAGTGCTGTGCTGTTAGATCTGATATCTTTCAGATGAGTTGTTAATGAAGTCTCTGTTCTCTCAGGTGGACATAAAACATCCCACTAGAACTACAAAGAAGATGAAAGGAACTTTTTCCTGGCGTTCTGGTCAATATATACCTCTTAGCCTATATCACTAAAAACAGATTGGCTGTTTATTATCAGTTTATTGTTTGTGAGAACTTGCTTGTGTAAATTGGCTGCCTCGTTTCCATCTGTAAATTGTTCCAAACTGTTTAAAGCAAGTTTATTTTCATAAAAGAGCATAGTACCCTGGGTGATGGAAATCTGAGATTAAAACAGAAAATGATGCAAATACTCGTGAGTGAGAAACAAAATTAGCATTTCAAATCAACGGACTTTATTCAGAACAAATTTATTACCTACAGCTGAGGGAAAAGAATCAGTGTGGAGTCGAGAATTTTCTTACTTATACAGTAAGCAGTTGGGACCTGAGAATGCACAATCTGAAGGAAAATTGAGAAACATTCCTTTATAATTTTAAAGGGAGAGTTGGAGCCCACTTGAAATGGAAATCTTTGCAGGACTATAGGGAAAGAACGTTGGGATGGAACTAATTGGACAACTCTTTCAAAGAGCCAATACAGGTATGATGACCTGAATGACCTCCTTCAGTAGTAAGATTCAATAATTTGCTTTCTAAAACCCCCTATCAAGCTTTCAAAATGTCACAAATCAAATTCAAATACAGTGAGCCATTTTTTTGGAGTGTACTGCCTGTTGTTAATAAGAACGACAAACAAGTTGAAATAAGGATAGTGCTGCCATTTGTTTCTTCCAGATCCGTAATGTTGCTACAAACCGGTGCGTGGACAGTAAACATGGAGCAACAGGAGCAGAATTGAGGTTGGACGTTTGTATCAAGGACGGCTCGGAACGTACATGGTCACATGAGCAGGTACCAAAAGGTCTAGCCATAGTGTCATGCAGCATAGAAACAGGCCGTTCGGCCCACCATGTTTATGCCAACCAACAAACACCAAACCATACGAATCCTATCTACCTGTACTTGGTCTGTAGTCTACTATGCTCCAGAATTTCAATTACTCATTCAGATGCTTCTTAAATGTTGGGAGATTGTCTGCCTCCACCACCCTCTGGACGAAAACATTTTTCTTCAGATCTCCTCTACATCACATACACCTCACCTTAAACTTATATCCTCTGGTCTGAGACACATCTGCCATGGGGAAAAGATTCTCACAATCTACCCTGCCTATGTCTCTCATAATTTGTATACCTCAATCAGAGCACACCTCAGTCTCCTCTACTCCAGGGAAAACAAACTCAGCCTATCCAGTCTCTCCTCATAATTCCTCGTAACATCCTGGTGAATCTCCTCTGCACCCTCTCCAGTGCAATCATGTCCTTCTGATACGTGTGGCAATCAGAACAGCACAGTGTCCCATCTGTGGCCTAACCAATGCTCTATAATGTTGCAACAAGAGTTTCCTGTTCCTATATTCTACACCCCTGCTAATGAAGGCAAACATCTCATATGCCTTCTTCACCACCCTGTCTACCTGTGCTGATACTTTCAGGGATCAATGGACTTGTACAGCAAGGTCCCCATGTTCCTCTGTACTCCTTAGCATTCATTGTGTAAAACCTTGCTGTATTAGACCTCTCAAAATGCATCATCTCACACTTATCAACATTAAATTTCACCTTTCATTGCTCTGCCTAATTCACTAGCTGATCAATGTCAGACTGTAACCTAAGATCATCTTCACACTATCAACAACACCACCAATCTTCATGTCATCTGCAAACTTACTAATTACGCCTCGTCATTCACATCCAAGTCATGAATGTGCATAACAAACAGCAAGGGTCCCAGCACCGATCCCTGTGTTACTCTGCTGGTCACTAGCTTCCAATTACAAAAACAACCTATCACCATCACCCTTTGCCTCCTGTTTGCAAGGCAATTTTGGATCCAGTTTATCAGCTTGCATTAGATCTTCATGAGCTCTTAACGTTTGGACTAGCCTTCCATGTGGGACCTTATCAAAGGCCTTACTGAAGTCCATGTAAACCACATAACTGTACTATCCTCATCCATATCAGTATTAATCTTAACATGCTCTAGGACCTCACCATTGCAACTGAAATATATAGCTACAATGTTTCTCTCCGTTGTGAATACAAACAAGAATTATTTGTTTAAGATCTCACTCACATCCTCTGGTCCATGCACAGATTGCCCCTTTGATGTCTAATAGGCCCCACTCTGTCTCTTGAAATCGTCTTGCCCTTAGTATACTTATAAAAGACCTTGGGGTTTTCCTTCATCCTGCCAAATATATTTCATTCTTTATAGTGCCGAATTGCGTCTTGTGTTTTTAATGCTCTGTACCTAATATATATAGTCATAGAGATGTATAGCACAGAAATAGATCCTTTGGTCCAACTTGTCCATGCCAACCAGAAATCCTAAATTAATCTAGCCCCATTTGCCAGCATTTGACCCATATCCCTCTAAATCCTTCCTATTCATGTAGCCATCCAGATGCCTTTTAAACGTAATTGTACCAGCATCCATCACCTCCTCTGCCACCTCATTCCACATATACACCATCCTCTGCGTGAAAAAGTTGCCCCTTAGGTCCCTTTTAAATCTTTCCCCTCTCACCTTAAACCTATGCCCTCTAGTTTTGGTCTCCCCTACCCTGGGGAAAAGACCTTGGCTATTTACCCTCTCCATGCCCATTTTATAAATCTCTATAAGGTCACTCCTCAGCCTCCAACGTTCCAGGGAAAATAGCTCCAGCCTATTCAGCGTCTCCTTATAGTTCAAACCCTCCAACCCTGGCAACATCTTTATAAATATTTTCTGAGCCCTTTCAAGTTTCACAACTACTTTCCCCAAGTAGGGAGACCAGAACTGAATGCAATATTCCAAAAGTGGCCTAACCAATTTCCTGTACTTGACCTCCCAACTTCTATACTCAATGCAGTGACCAATACTTCCTTATTTTTCTTTATCAATCTCATGATCTCCCTTGACATCCAGGATTTCTTGGATTTGCTGCCCTTGCCCTTCACTCTTAGAGGAACTCTCATTATACTATTTTTAAAATATTTCCACTTTCCAAATGTACACTTACCTGCAAGTAGCTGCTTCCAGTTTATGTTTGCAAGATCCTGTCTAATGATATTGAAGTTGGCCTTCCCCCAATTTAGACACTTCTACACTATCCTTATCCCTTTCCAAAAAACCTTTGAAACTTACAGAGTTATGGTTACTATTCCCAAAATGCTCATCTGCTGACACTTCTTGAACAGCTTCATTCCCTAGGATTAGGCAAAGCATTACTTTAGTAGGAATACCTCAATTCTGGCACAAAACAGCTGCCCTGGAAAAAGTTGCCCCTTAGGTCCCTTTTAAATCTTTCCCCTCTCACCTTAAACCTATGCCCTCTAGTTTTGGTCTCCCCTACCCTGGGGAAAAGACCTTGGCTATTCACCCTCTCCATGCCCATTTTATAAATCTCTATAAGGTCACTCCTCAGCCTCCAACGTTCCAGGGAAAATAGCTCCAGCCTATTCAGCGTCTCCTTATAGTTCAAACCCTCCAACCCTTTAAGAATTTCACCTTGTCTCATCCTTTCCAATCCTTTCACATGAAGGTATGAAATGTTAATGTTAGTATTGGATCTTTTATCATTGGGAAACCTAAGGGATAAGGACCAGGCTGCATAGCACAGGCCATTGATTTGGATGAAAAGAGTAACAAAACCATTTGAACCCAAAAACCCCCCATCGTCCATTCCTTCACACTCCCAATTTAAATTGTTACAGCTGTGGAGGCCATTCTTTCAGCTGTCTGGGCCTATCTAGACCTCTGAGCTGTCAAAGCCTCCCCCCTTAGCCCACACTACCTCTATCTTCCTTCAGGACACTTCTTACAACTTATTTTGTTAGGTAACGCTCCTGTGTGGCACCTTGGGACAATTTGCTACTTTAAAGGGACAACATAATTGAAAGTTGTTGCTTCTGCTATACTTATTCATATAAATCAAGAAATTTAGGTACTGCCAAGAAGAAGTGCAGGAGGAATGGAAAGTTCAAGATGACTTTGGGAGCTCTCTCTGATGTCCTGGTCAATATTTCTCCTTCAGCTGCCTTTACTAAAATAGACTACCTGATCGTTAGCATAGTTGCCTGTTATGGGAGCTTACTGTGCATACATTAGCTGCTGCATTATCTACGTTGCTACAGTGATGACACTTAAAAATACTTAATTGGTTGTAAAGCAATTTAGGATGTCCAGAGGCTGTGGAAAGCATGTTTTTTTTTATTTCTAAGACATAAGTCCTTGGCTAGCTTTCTCTGGTTTTTCCCCTTCTCTACCTAGAAGAGCTGCATTAACACCCAACTTAAATGTAGAAAAGCTCCAACCTGGTCTGTTCAGGATTCAGATATTCCCAATCCTGTCCTGGGAGGTTAGGATGGACAGAAAAATTATGAGGAAGTAAAATTGAGATGACTTCCCATTGCATCTTTGGGGAATGAAGGCAGGCAGCCATGAACATAATTAATCGTAGAATCCCTACAGTGTGGAAATAGACCCTTTGGCCCAATAAGCCCACAACGACCCTCAGAGCATCCCACCCAGACCCATCCCCCTGCAACCCACCTAATCTACATATCCCTAAACACTATGGGCAATTTAGCATGGCCAATCCACCTACCCCGCACATCTTTGGACTGTGGGAAGAAACCGGAGCACCCAGAGGAAATCCACGCAGACACGGGGAGAATGTGCAAACAGACAGTCTCCCGAGGGTGGAATCGAACCTGTGTCCCTGGTGCTGTGAGGCAGCAGTGCTAGCCACCCCTAAGTGCCATATAAAGGATAATTCTCTGGCCTACCTGTATTTAGCCAGTGAACAGCTCCCCATCCCCTACCACCATTCCCCATCACTCGCACTCCCATCCCCAACCCATGAACCAGAAATGGGAGATCGCCAATTTGATGGAAGTGTCCTCTCTGCATCAGCCAGTGGGTTCACCTTCCATAAATCCTGATTTTGTTTTTCTTTATTCATTCACGGGATGAGGGCTTCACTGGCTAGGCAGCATTTATTGCCCATCCCTAATTGCCCAGAGGGCAGTTAAGAGTCAACCACGTTGCTGTGGGTCTAAAGTCACATGTGGGCTAGACCAGGTAAGGATGGCAGTTTCCTTCCCTAAAGGACATTAGTGAACCAGATGGATTTTTCCTGACAATTGACAATGGATTCACGGTCATCATTGGACTCTTAATTCCAGATATTTATTGAATTCAAATTCCACCATCTGCCGTGGTGGGATTCGAACCTGGGTCTCCGGAACATTATCTGGGTCTCTGGATTAACAGTCCAGCGATAATATTGCTAGGCCATCGCCTCCCCATTGGTCTACTAACATCTTTGTTTGGATAGTGAGCTGGAGATGACCAATTAAGAAGCCATTTCAGAGAAGGTCACTTGGTCCTACTGTCAGTAAATGTGGGCATGGGACCTTCATTTCAACAAAAAATGGGGTGTTGCACTTCCTGGCAAAATTTCAACCCAATGGATCAGCAAGTGGAAGTCCCACACTGCCGTTATAATTGCAGTTTTCTTTACAAACTAGTCCTCCCTTTGCTGTCCACTCCATAGGGAAACAATTTGCAATGCTTTGGACATAATAACACTCCTCACTCGTTTATGCAGAGCACTTCTACTGAAAGGTTTTATGGAATTCAAAGATAATCTGTGGAAAAATGCACTCCTTGCCAATGGTCTCCACTAAACACTGGTAGTTAACTGAGAACACTTTAGTTCTAACATGTACCATTGAGGTGATGAAGACACTTTATATTTAATATTCTTTGGAAGAGTTAAGTTTTCAAGGAGTGTCGAAAATGGG